ATTTGATTCTGTTGTTTTTTCCATTATTATTTAATTTAGAAATGGCATCTATGCCATGTACTATGTGTGGAAATGATAAAGGGCAAATGAAGTTGGTTGGTGAAAAAGGCTTGAGAACCCTATTGAGAGCATCTTCTACAAAGAAGGAAAAAAATCTAACTCAAATGTTTAAAGACCACCGAGGTAAACAAAACCCAGTGAACGTTCATCATAAATGTCGTCGTCGGCTCACTGACTTTCGAAAAAAACCTGTAGGGCTAGAACCTAAGAGGTTACGTTCATCGATTCAAACTGCTTTTCTCTAGAAAGTTTGTTGTTTTATTTGCTCTTACGCAACCTAAAGAGAGGTTCTACCGAGTGCAAACGCTACCATTACACAACGCTATTATGTAGCGTACGAAAGCAAGGTATGATGCATGGGGCGAAGCAGCACTTACAAGATTTGAAACTATAAATCACCTAGTCGCAGAAGAAACAGTTTATCATAATTCATGCATGGCTGACTTCAGGCTTAAAAAAGTAGGGAAAAGTGGTTGGGGAAGATCAGCAGAACCTATCGTGACCGATGCATTTGAAAATATTTGCGATTGGCTCGAAAACGCTGCCAAAAGTGAAATATATTCTATTAGAGAATTATATGATAAAATGATTGAAGAAAATAATGGTGTTAGATATTGTCTCCAAACGTTTCGATCAAAACTGAAGGTAAGGTATGAAGATCACGTCCATTTTGTCCAAAGTGCTGGCTGTAAGGGTGAACTTTGTTTTGTTTAAAAATATGGGGGACAATATAATAAAGAAAATAAAAGAGGGCACAGCAACAAGAGATAGTGTGATAAAAGCAGCAGCCAAAATAGTAAAGGAAGCGATAAGGTCAATGGAATACAGTAAATATTTTTACCCCACTATTGATGATATCTCGGATAGAGAAAAGTGGGTTCCTGAATCATTGAAAAATTTTATGATAATACTGATTCCTTCCAGTCAGAAGCGGCTGAGTCTGAGCCAATGTATCATACAAGCTTCACGACCAAAAAGTGTTATTGCACCAATTCCATTCGGAGTTGCTGTCAATATTGATAAATCTACTGGATGTAAACAGCTTATTCAACATTTCTTGCGACTTGGGTTTTCAATCACTCCAGATGAATTGTCATCCACTCCAGATAAATCGTCAAAATCAGCAATCGAAGAGATGAGCAGGAATGAAATCAATAACCACAAAGAAATAAGTAATGGATTTAAGCAATGGGTAGCTGATAATGTCGACCACAATATTGCAACATTAACAGGAAAAGGTACATTTCATGGGATGGGAATAATCTCCTAGAAAAAAGTACACTAGATTGTTTAGAAATGTTCTAAGATTGAGACAACTTCTACTAACAACAGCATTTGCTAACAATTTTGGTATAGAGATTGTTCCGTATCATAAATCTTCGCATATAAAAAAGTTTCAATTTAAAACAATCTCTGAAGCTACAGTAAGAATGCTCATTTCTGATAAAAATAATATGATTTCTACTTATGATTTTTGTGGCACGCGAGTTTGTTTTTGTCATCAACTGAAGAACCTCGTTCAAACTGGTCTGGGTTTTTACAATGCTCAACAAAGCAACTCCCGCAAAAAAAATTCAATCAGTTATTTCATTTCTCCCAATAATAGATCTCGATCCTTCCAATGAATCATGTATTTACTCAACTTTGCTTTTTATTATCTCCCAAGAAAAGAAGCTCAAACTCGAAACCCCTTGTATAACTTTTGACCCGCCATTTTGGTTAAAGGCATTCAATATCATCAATGCAGAAAATCTCCCAATTGTTTTCAGTCTTGGTGGCTCTCATACGCTTATGAGTTTTCTGGGAAGCACTGGTACGCTTATGAAAGGAACAGGTCTTGAGGAGCTCTTTGTTGATATATGCTGAGAATTGTGTCACTAAAATGATGTCATAAAAAGCCATTGCAAGAGCAACAAGGGCACACATTTTGGCTGAGTCAGCATTAGCGTCATTATTAATGAAAGAAATCAAAGAAGAAATTGAAGTGGAATTCAACGACTTGCAGCAGTTTTATGAACTCGCTTACCGTGGAAAACCTGATGAAAAAATGCCTAATAAATTGGAAAAATGTGACAGTATAAAAAAAATTGGTCAAAAATTAGACCTGCTAAAGTCGAAATTGAAGGAAAACTCTAGAACATCTAAAACATGGCTGTTGTACATTGACTATATCAATATTGCAAAAGAATTCAATTTTGCAAAAAGAATATCAAATTGGGACCTGCATCTGGGTGTTCTATCAAAAATGCTCAATTTGTTTGCAGCTACAGGACACATTCATTATGCAAAGAGTGCCCGATTATACTTTCAAAAAATAAAAAAGCTTCCAGAAACGCATCCTTGGCTGTATAGAGCATTTACAGGTGGTAACCATACTGTTCAACGAACCAAGAGAAATTGGAATGGCATCTGGAGCTGCTTACGTCCATGGCCTGCACGCGCATTATCAAATAATGTTATGGTCACTAACTGATGACATTGAACTAGATGTAACTGAATGGGACTGGAAGCAACACGACGGAGTAATCACACCTATAATGAGCAATAAAGACATTGCACCAGAAGCACTAACAAAGTTCATAAGATGTAATTGCAAGGTTTGTTTTGAAATAAATGTATTTTTTTGAAATCCTTAAAAAGATACTAAAAAACTTTATTGATATAATTTAAACTTAAATATTTTTTATTTTTAACTACAACAATTTCCTTTTTTGCTAGTCATTAAGACAACAACAAACAACCCATGTGGTCTTTCATGATTTATCTTTATTATCACATTTTAATATTTCTACAAAATATCAGTCGTATATTTGCTTATCTATTTCCTGTAGAGCAATGACATTGAAGAAAAAAACGAAATGGAAAATTATGAAGATGACGACAGAAACATATTATGTTTCCCTGATTTCTAAATTCAGAAATAAAATTGAAAATTAAAAGTATTTAATTTAGATTTTATTAAATATGACAAATGATCATTTTAATAAATTTTTTTATTAAAACTTTCGAAAAAAAAAAAACTTAATGTATTATTTATAGCATTTATTTGTTAAATAACTAGTTGTTCTTTCATTTTAAGACCTTAGTGTCTTTCAAAAATTTGTTCAGCATAAAAAATGCTTTAAAATGGTATATACTTAGTCAATTTTTGAAAATATATTTTTTTGACTATTTTGGGCATTTGTCATTCAGAAATTGGGCCCGAAAAAGGGGGTTCTCCAATTGGGAATCGTAGTGCTTTTTTTTTTACATGATCTATATACCTTAGGGAATTACTGGGCAAAGTTTCAGCTTTATAAAAAAATTTTACCAAAAATACTAGTACTAGACTAGTAGTACAGACTAGTAGTACAGTTAGACTAGACTAGTAGTACAGTTTTAAGGTGTGGGCTGTGTGAGTGTAATGCTACAGGTGACTTTGTAAAAATGGAGGGAGTAATGACAAAATTAGTTTACTTGTACACTTAAAAATTATGCTACAACTTTTGAAAGATGGGTTAATGAGAAACCATTTATTTTTTCAATAGAAAATGACTTAAGGCTTAAATCTAAAATATATTTTTTAAAAACTTATTTAAGTTAAAATTTATCTAAAGTTCGACCTATGCTTCAACTCTTTTAATGTATAGGGAAGAAATTGGAAAGTGGGACACGGAAGAAGTAGTTACTTTCTCTCCATTTAGCAAACATGACTTTGTCTTCCTGTGTGCGCTAAAAGCACCTTTTAGAAAACTACCATCAAAAAAACATTTTTTTAGGGGTGAAGTGAGATAAAGGAAGTTAATTGACCTTTTATTTTTCCAATATCGCTTTTGTGTAACTATGTCATGGAAACCTGTTAATATATTTTGATGTAGAATACTTGATTTACAATTTTAATAGTTTTTAGTTTTTGTTTATATGTTGTTAACTACTCGTTTGTCTCACTTTACTCTTGTCTCACTATACCTGTCCTACTTAACCCTAATGGCACGGTTCCTCTAAAATCATAAATATGTATGCTCTAACATAACTTGCTGTCAATTTTAGGGGATGAAATCAGTGCCCGAAATGATGCTTTATTTGTTAAAATTTGTTTGTTGCAATACATGAATTATATAGGAAAGATATTAAAATTATTCTAGAAATATTTTTTAATGTCCCACTTTTCTCCACTCTCCCCTACGTTTGATTAAAGGTTTACAAGATTAAATATTATTAGTCGATATAGAAAACAATTAGTCGACATAAACGTAAACATTAAAAGGCTTGAAATGTATGCTTTAATCGTTTTAGTGTATAGGTTTATTAAACGTATGTTAAATGAAAGTTTTTTCTAGTTTATCGTAAATACTTGCTTTAATTTTAAGTTAGAATGTAAAGATGGTTTGGTCAAGAATGGAGAATGAATTGATGAAGCATGTTCTAAATAAAAAGATTGTTATATATATATATATATATATATATATATATATATATATATATATATATATATATATATATATATATATATATATATATATATATATATATATATATATACATATATAGTGTGTGTTTGATCAATTAAAGTAAATTAAAACAGAGCTGTATTTACATATATTATTTATAAATAAAACTACATATTTTTCACAACTTTAAGTTTCATGCTAAAGGCAATCATCAGGTGTAAATATGTTTTTTTTTCTCGTGAAAAAAACACCTGATGATTGCATCTAGCATGAAACTTATAGTTGTGAAAAATATGTAGTTTTATTTATAAATAATATATGTGTATGTATATATATATATATATATATATATATATATATATATATATATATATATATATATATATATATATATAAATATATATATATATATATATATATATATATATATATATATATATATATATATATATATATATATATATATATATATATATCTGTGTGTATGTATACTATTAAACAGATATTTACAGTAATTGCAAGTTCTTTGACAATTTTCAATCATACGAGAAATCCAGTTTGGGCTTTTGCATAGAAAACTATTATCTCTGCACCATAGCGATGAAGATTTGTCTGTGCAAACTAAAAAATAGATAAAAAGTATAGTACTATAAGATTGTATTTAGTATAAAAATGAATGAATGAAAAACGATGTAAACAAAAAACAAATTTTATTAGTATTTTTTAAAATTTACTTATTTACATAAGCAATCTTTATTTTTGCTAAATTTAACTTACTGTAAAGTTTTTTAACGACCAGTAATGTTATATAGTTAAGATTTTTCTGATATTTATAACAATCTAGTTTTTAGAAGAGCTTAAAAACGTTGTGCCTTTGTTTAATAATATTTACCATGGTTTCCATGCATACTTAATGTCAGGCTGAATTCCTTTTAGTGTAAAGTAATGAAATTTTACACCTAACGGGTGTACACCGTACACCAAAACTCTAATTTACTGTGTTTTTTTGACTGATACCACTTTAGAGTAAATAAAATCAAATACGCGTAACTAAACATGTTGTTTTTTCTATTTCTAGCAACAATAGTAACGTACCCAAGATTGTGGAAATTGTGACAACCAGAAAATACAAGGAAAACATAGTCATTGTTATTCTCTTATTTTTTTCAACGTTTCGTTTCGTTCAACATTCGTTCAACCTTTAACTGTTTAATAAGATTTTGTTTGATCACGTTGTACATCTGATATATCTTATTTGTCTTTTTTAAATATTTGTTTGTTGATTTTTTTTTACTCTTACGTCAGGGTTTATTACTCTTATTACAATGTTCGAAACTGTTTAATTTACTTAAGTGTGTTCGAATTTACTTAAGTGTGTTCGAAGCTGCTTGATTAATTTAAATAGAACTTTGAAATTTGTGCTACAGTTTGATAAAAAAATATTCTATATAGTAAATTTAAATATACGGCGTAAAGTGCCTCAAAGAGGGAGAAAAACGGCAAAAATCACTTATCTCTCAAAACACTGCATATTTTACGCTCTTAGAGTTTCTCTGAGTCAAGGAATCTATTTTTGAAGCTAAATATTATACCTGACCAATCTAACGGCATGTTACTAGCTGAATATAGCATGTTACTAACGGTTACTAGCTAAAGCATATAACAGTACCTTATTTTAGCGAAAAATTTTATGGTAATTCCAGATTCTAGAAAACTATTTTTTTTAAATAAAATCTAACGATTTATTAACTTAAATTTTAAGAAAATTTTATATTTGGTTTAAAAGTTTATATAAATGATTATATTAATTATCACGTAAAATTCGTATTTATTATCACATAAAGACAATATTATATTGCATCTAGGATACTTTGCGCAGTATCTCGAAGAAGTGAAAAACTCCTAAAAAAATAAAGTTTATAGAAAATTACCATTTGGGGTTGTGAAATTCATTTTTGAGATTAGAAATAACATTTGATTTTTCTAACTGATATGCTAATAACTGGCTGATAAATGTTAGGGTCAACTAATGCATTTTTAACTTTCAATATGTCTACTTTTAGGTTTTTGAGGTCAAGGAAAACATTTTTGGCATTAAAAACAATATGTTACAAGCTGATTATAAGTATTTATCCTAATTTACATATTTAACAGAACTGAGTCAATATGATAAAATCAATGTATATATTATAAAATTTTGTTCATCATAATTTATTTTCTGAAAACTTATTATTATTTAAATTCTCTGTCTATCTTTTCACTCTTTCCAGCTTTTCACAAGATCTTTTCACTCTTTCCAGCTTTATTTTTCAAAGAACCTTGAATAAAACATGATACTTTTGCAATTTAGAATTTACTGAATTCAAAATTTTTTTGATATTTTCCTATAGATCATTCAAATATTGGATCTGTCTTTGATCAAGTCTTCATGTAACTGTTTCTGTCTTTGATCAAGTCTTCTTGTAACTGTTTTTGTCTTTGATCAAGTCTTCTTGTAACTGTTTCTGTCTTTGATCAAGTCTTCTTGTAACTGTGTCTGTCTTTGATCAAGTCTTCATGTAACTGTTTCTGTCTTTGATCTTCTTGTAACTTCTGTTAACAGCTCATTGTTTTTCAATTCCATTTTCTTTAATAAATATCAAATCATTTTTCTTTGTGTTTTTTGTAGTGTTGCTACAACTTTTAAATAATTTGACTGTCAACCAAATCTACTATTATATTTTCTAATTCTAAATAAATCGACAAATCTATTTTTGAAGTCGACTAAGTCAACTAAAAGTCGATTTTTTTAAATAAGTTATAATAAAAATAATAAAGTAATTTAAATTTGCATTTATAAAATCATATCATTTAAATGATTATGAAACAAAGCTATGACAACAATACAATTTATTCTCAAACTCCAATGATTTAGAGACCGCCTAAAATACTTGCCAAATATCAAAAAGTCTATACAATCATATTTACGATGTGATTGTTTAGAAGACATTTAGATTTAGAAGCTTCACAACTTCATTTTGTCACTGGGCCCCGAGCCAGTCTGGAACAGTTAAAAAAGATATAACATTCTAATAAAATTCTGACCCGAACGTTTAGTTAGGTGTAAATAATGAATATAATGCAATGAATTAGATAAAACTTAAAGAGAGTTAACAAAAAACTAGGTAATAGTTATAAAAGCACATGTTTTATTATGAAATGAACAAACAAAAATTAAATATTGAAAGTTAATTCGATTGAAAAGTTAAAAAGATTAAAGGATTTTAAGATTTTTACTCGACTAAAACGGCTTTTTGTTTATTTCTGGTAGTGTTTCCATTGTTAGTGTTGCCAAAACCCTGTTTGGGCATATCAACTATAAGACTTAGCTCCACGAAAAACCTCAATACCGTGCCATTAGGGTTAAGTAGGACAGGTATAGTGAGACAAGAGTAAAGTGAGACAAACGAGTAGTTAGCAACATATAAACAAAAATTAAAAACTATTAAAATTGTAAATCAAGTATTCTTCATCAAAATATATTAGCAGGTTTCCATGACATAATTACACAAAAGCGATATTGGAAAAGTAAAAGGTCAATTAACTTCCTTTATCTCACTTCACCCCTAAAAAAATGGTTTTTTGATGGTAGTTTTCTAAATATTCTTAAATATTCTTTTTTCAAAGTTTTTACTGATAATTTTTCAGCAGGGGATTTCGCAAAGTACTTTTTAATTTTTAACTTTTATTCTAAATGTAAAATATACTCAAAAAATCTGAGCCAGCAATGCAGAGTAGAAAGGTTCAAAGATTTTTTCATTGATTGGTTTAGATCTGATCAATGCTGGGTTTTTTAATTTAACAGGCTTAGCTCTACAAACATTAGATGCTTAGGAGGACAGAGTGTTAATAAGGGCATTAACCACTATACCATCAAACATGGTTAAATCTAGTTTGATTTTAAATGTGATAGTCGTATCCGCTTTGCCTTCCTCTACTTCTAACTTTACCTCAAACTTGGCTAGTCTATTCATTTCTGTTTTTAAAATTTTATTTTCATTTCTAATCAATTCTTTTGTTTGTTTTTGATATTGGAGATATATTGCTCTACAGTAATGTGTACTAGAGGGCGTTTTATCTAACTATACATTTTTATTCATGATGGTTAATTTAAGTGGAACAATAGCTATTTGGAAAAGACTTTGCTCGTTAACTTGGGCCTTACCAATATTTTTATCAGTACTTTTTTTTTTATAGACACTTTGACTGGAGACACCATCAAAACCACCTTTAAAGTGAAGTAGTCATTTAAACATCCCCCCACTTTTAGCAAACATTTTCATAGAGTTTTGGCATTCCAAGAATTCTAAGTTATGGCATTAAAAGTTAATATCCTTGTCAGAGTATGATTAAACATACCCTGTAGAGAAGTTCAAGCAGATATTTATGTCACAATTAAACCCTCAGGATAACATTTGTGTTACTCATTCTTAATTTTCAGTAGTGAAAGATAAAACCTGCATTATGTATTATCGATGAATTTTTAATAATTTAATACTGTTTATCTGAAAGATCACACTGAAGCTAAAGGCATCTTCGGTTTTCTTTTTTATCAGAAACCTCCGTGCTTTTAAACTTTTCAGATTTGTAGCACTTTTCATGAGAACAACAAAATCTTTTTTGTTAGGATTTCTAGTGGCTTTTTTTATTAATGCTAATGCCAATGCTTCAGCAGATAGTTCAGCTAATTTGACAACCTTAAACAAGATTTATTATTACCTTAGATCTTCTGTTTCTATCACCTAAATCTTCTCAGCCTTTGCAGTTTCTACCTGGACCTGCTGCAACGTTTTTTTTTTTGTCAAATGTTACATCTTTGTCCAAACAAGTTCGCTCGTGTCCCAGAAGTCTTGAGAAGGTTCTTGAATGTTTTCACAACTTTGATCGGAATTTACATTTAATTGTTATTATAGTTTTCTTTATCATTTTGGGTTTGTCAATACTTTCATAGTATAGACCCTCCATTCTACAAAACTCACGTAGAGCATAATCCCGCAAGGCGGGGTTACTCATATGAATAATATGACTGGTAATAATAATATGAGTGTTCACGTATCCCTACGGGCATTTTTTTGAAAAAGTTACATTCTAATTTAGAACGTTTATAATTTCTAAACGTTGAAAAAACTTAAAGTAAAGTAAAAAAGTAAAGGAGCCCCTTTTACTTTTTTGGCGGGGGAGCCCCAAATTTTATAGTTACACCACTGACTGACCACAAGGATTACCCCATCTAATGGTTTTAAAAAAGTAACTAATTTAGAAATCAAGGCTAGTTCATCATTATTTAAGCAAAGATCTTCCCTGCCACATTTTTTTAGAAAAATTTCTACTGAACCTAATAACTGGTTAAATGATTCTATCATAAAGAGAGCACTGTTCCATCTGCGTATTTTCTGTTATAGTGCGTATTTTTTGTTATATTATTTGTATAGGTTCTTATGCTGTTTTATAAAGTTTTCCTCAAATTTCTCTTTACATGAGCCATCAAATTTTTTTTCTTCAATCATGTTTGAAGCATCATAAATTTGAATTGGAAATTGCTGTTCTAAATTGTCAATATCTTTCACTTCAGCAAGAATTTAAAGCTGACTTAACTTCAAGTATGTAACAATTTTTCTGCATTTTTCAAAAAAATATTTTATTTCGTTATAGTTAATCATGCCATCAGTAATTATAACGAAAAATATTACTGTCAATATTAAATGCAAGATATGAGACAGATAATATTGTAGATCCTTTAAGCCTAAGAGTTTAGAAGTTTTCACAATACTTGCTGCACCATCGCGCACAGTATATTACCTCATATTTCTGCAACACCTCTGGAAAAATTCTCGAACAATGTTGTTGATAAAACTATGACAATTTTCACCTGAATGGCAAGCATGCAAAAGTAAACATTTTTATATCCTAGTTATTATTAATAATGGAACACTTTAGACCTTTAACTATTTTTTTTATTACTAATTTTTTGTATTATTTAGTCCAACCGTCAAATATAATTGTTGCCGCAACAATCTTTTGAATTTCTCAATACAGATCGCCTTAAAGATTTGTAAATACCAAGTAGGACAACTTGATTTATAGTAGAATCCGTGGGAAATTTTGACCCAATATTTTTTTTAACAAACTTTTAAAATCCCTCTTATTAACATGAGAGAACGGTTGTAGATCTCTTGAAGATAAGTCAGATATTTTAAACTACAGACCTATACCTATACTACTTTGCTTTCAAAATTGCTAGAGAGAACAATGTATTATAGGTTATATAATTATCTAACTGAGAAAAATATGTTGTATTGCAAGCAATTTGGTTTAAAAAAAAATTTCCACAGAACATCCAATAGTTGAACTTTCTAATCAAATATCTAACGCCTTTTATAATGACTGTTTTACATTAGCTAATGATTTACGGTATCAAAAGCTTTTAATAGATCAATGAAAACTCTTAGGAGTTTTCATTGATCTGTCAAAAGCTTTTGATACCGTAAATTACAATATACTAATAAAAAAACTTGAAAACTACGGAGCGAAAAATAAAAACTTACTTTGGTTCAAAGGGTATTTGACAAACCGAAAGCAATTTTTAAATTATGATCAAAATAACACAGTTCCATATTCCATGACATGCGGGGTTCCTCAGGGCTTTATTTTAGGACCATTCTTATTTTTATTGTACATAAATGACTTATACTTAGCAACAAATCTTATAGACCTAATTTTGTTTGGTGATGATTCCAATCTTTTTTGTTCTCACAGAGATATTAAAACACTTTTTAAAATAGTTAATAAACAGTTATGTAAAGTTAATGAATGGTTCGTAAGTTACAAACTTTCATTAAATGTGGATAAAACAAAATATATACTTTTCCATAAAGTAAATAAATCAGAAAGCATTCCTCTAAAATTACCAAATCTTATAAACAATAATACTTATATTAAAAGGGAAACAAAAGTAAACTTTTTAGGAGTAAAACTGGATGAAAATTTACTGTAGTATTCACATAAAAACAGTATTGAAACAACACTCTCAAAAAATATCACAATGATGTTTAAGGCTAAACCTTTTCTAAATGTAGCACCCCTGAAAAAATTGTATTTTGCCTTTATTCACAGTTATTTGTCTTACTGTAATATTGTGTGGGCTAGTACCGGCTATACAAAACTTAAGAAAATCTACAACAAACAAAAACATGCGTGCAGAATAGTGTTTGGAGCCTACATAAATACTCCTTGCACTACCACTTTTACGTGCACTCAGTGCTTTAAATGTGTATAAACTCAATTTACACCTAGTTTTATTGTTTATGTTTAAAACAAAAATAGGATTTTCCCCCAAAATTTTTCAAACCTATTTTAATAAAATTAATCATAAATATTCAACAAAATTTTTTGATAACAACTTTGTTCTTCTCGAGTATATTTTAAAATTAACCTCCTATTTAATTAAATACCGTGGACCATATCTGTAGAAAAAATTCCCAGAGATTGTGAACAAAAACACGAGCATATTAGAGCAATTTAAAAATGAATCAAAATAATTATTACTATTCAGGTATCTTAATTTATCTGACTTCAAACGTTTCTTTTAAAGTAAGTTTAATCAAATGAAAACAAATTTATTTATATCAATGAAATTTAAGTAATGATGTTAAAGTTGTATCTAGTGATAATGTTAGTTATGAAATTTTATATTATTATTTTTTTATTCAAAAATTTTTGTTCAAATGATTTTTAAACATTATAGAGGTTGTTAGCATTTCAACACTTCTTAACTATTTGCTATTTTGAATTTCTTAATTTTCTTAGTTATTTTCTTTTTCAATTCTGATTTATGTTTTATATATTTATATTTGTATGTTACGGTTGTGTAGAATTTTTTTTTATATATATATAGTGCTCGGCGATAAGGCAAACTGTGCCTTCTTCTTGCTCCAGCCATTAATTTTAATATATGTATATACAATGTAAACATTCTTTAACGGCGAAATAAATTACAGCGAAAAAAAAAATAGAATAAAGGCTATACTTGCTTTTATCACCGGGAACCCTTTTAGAAAAGTTTTTTTTTTTTTTAAATAAGCCGACTTTAAAGTTTTTAAACGCTGAGAACTTAGAAATTATGTATAAATGTTTAAAAAGTTCCCCATTCCATTAGGTTCCTTATGCTTCTTTTATTCTATATGTAAATTTTTAAATAAATGTGATGTGTTTTGTTACTTAGGAAATCTTATCTTCAAAAACTACTTTTGAAAAAACGTGTCAGGCGGGAAGTTTTTTTATCAAGAGTGGTCTTAAGACATGAATAATATATAAAAAAAGCCATATTAAACATTGTACTTTCTATATATGGTTGGAAAGAAATTGAGTCTAACTAATTGATGCAAAAACCTTATTATAAAAAAAAGCTTTATTATAAAAAAAGATATAAGAGAGTAAAATTCATGAAAATGACGTGTTTTTTGTCAAAAATTAAATGTTTTTCGTTGCGCTCTGGAATCGCTACTAGGGCAAAATCGCGATTCACATCATATTTTGATGAACTAGCCATTATCGCATCATCTATGTAAAAAATGATCATTTTTTAATTCAACAGCCGATTTGTTTGCTAATATTTTATGAATATAAAACAAATGACTTTTTAAATTACTGCTCGATGTAGAAATCTTAACCTTGTGAAGTTTGATAAGTGCCCTCCAGCTGAAGACTCGACTTTATTTTTCTATTAAAAAAACATTTGCTACAGTAATTATGTTCATCGTCAATAAAATTACAACTTTGTGTTAATAAATTTACCAATGAAGAACCTGTAGTTTTTCTTTTAAGTGAGCTGCACAGTTTAATGTTCAAGTATTTTACAGAACTGTTATGCAAGCTACCATCCTTTTTTCTATCCATAAATAAGTAATAAAAAATTTTTTATGTTTAAATTTATAAGCTATTCTGAAGAATTTAGGATCTAGATCTAGATTTAAGAAATTAAATCTAGATTTAATTTGCTTTATAAAGCGTGCAAAATATTTGGATGTGATGATATCTTATAAAGAGGAACGCTTAGCAACCAATCCTCCCCCTCTCTGCGAGTATTTATAAAAAACAGATAACTCTTTTTTTTTAAATAATATCAACTTTGCAGTGTTTCTCTTTCCCAGTAAGCACAAAGACGTTTAAAAGACGTTTTAAAGATGTCTTTAAGGAGGTCTAAAAGGCGCACTTGTAGACGTCTAGATCATAAGGCTAAAAGACGTCTAAATAAAGACGTCTTTATAAAAACGCGTTTTAGACGTATTTTAGACGTTTTTTTCAAGTTAAATTTAAGTACATGACGTAACACTTTTGCGTAGTATGTGGTATATATTCATTGTATTTATAACATCATAAATTGTTTTAATTTCGTTTATACCAAATATACATATGAACCAGCAGTCAAAATAATATTGCTGTAATCACCACCAACGGTTGATGCATCAAAGATGAAAATAATAAAAAACAATAACAAGTATATATATCAAAACAGTGTTTAAAACATTTATAACATATTTTTAGTTATAATAAATTTTAACATTAATATTGATAGCTAATTTTTGACCGCATACTTGACTTATTATATGGCTTGTGGGTGTATAAAAACTAAAAATACTGATATTTAACTTATACATTATTCTTGCCATTTTCACTTATTATCATGATCAGTCAACTATCTATTAAAAAAGCAAAATAATTATTAATAAAAAAAAGATATATTAATATTATAGCAATTATTTTAGTGATTCCTGTGACAACAATTTTAGCAATTGTGTAAAAAAGTAATTTAATTTACACTTAAAACTTGAACAAATTATTGAAAATAATAAAAACTATGTTTTTACTTTGAATATACGACATCTTCTTAACGCGTAATGACAAAGCCGTCAAAAAGAAGTCATAATGACAAATTTATAAACAGGTCTTAGAAAAGACGTCTTTTAGCCTTGATCTAGACGTCTTTTAATGCGTCTTTTAGACTATTTATTATGCGTCTTTTAAACGTCTTTTTAAACTTTAAAAAGACGCATTTTAAACGTCATTTTAAAAGCGCATTTATTAAAGACGTCTAGAAAATGTCTTCAAAACGTCTATAAAAGTGCGTCTTTACCTAGACTAGTTTTAGACGTCTATAAGTGTCTAAAATGCGTCTTGTGCTTACTGGGTTGATTTTTAATTTTTTCTTTTTTTTAGTCATTAAAACTTGTGTTTTAAACAAAGCTCTAAAATTTAATAATTTGCATTTTGGTTGTCCGTTTTTTTTTAATTAAAAAAAAATGTGTGCAGTATAGGGTTGACTCTATTTTTTTCAGCCAACAAGAGAGACTTTGAAATCGGCTTCGGCTGATTACTTTGTTTGATAGGCGGCTTAGTAGTTGCTAATAATGCAAAATGGCGGTTGTAAAAAGAGGGTTTAAGCAGCGACGGCTTCTCGCTGATGGCTTTATCTTTAACTTCTAAGCCTAACTCACAGCCAAAAAAATAGTTTTGTAGTCTTTATAGTTGATATTTTGATCTTATTACATAATAAACTCCAGTTTTATTAATAATAAAAAAACAATAAAAAAAAAAAAAAAACAATAATATTTTATTTTTGTATCTTTGTTTTAAAAATCTTGAAATTATTCTAACATTGCCTTATCAATCCACGACCTAAAGTAACCAACATTTGCAAAGACTGTGTAGGTTTTGTCTGATCGACAATCTCCAGATCCGTGACTAACAGCGCCGTGAACAAACCATTTTCCACCATTGTTGCAAACAAATGGACCACCGCTATCTCCATGGCAGCCAGAAATTCGAGTTGCCCCACCATCACCAGCGCAAAGCATTCCTTTTGTAATAGAGGTTGGTATTGTTTTTTTGTTCAATTTTTCGCATGTTGGTCGGTCAACAACATTCATTTTTGCGTGCTGTAAAATCTTTGTCATACTTCCAGGGTGACTTATTTTACCCCATCCTAAATTACATATTTATAGTAAAAATCAGTCAAATTTGTTTACTTTAAATTATTTTAATACAAATTTGTTCTTGTCTTTATAAAACTTTACGATATAACAGAAAAAGTCTTTATAAAATTTTATATTAAAGAAAAGATTCGTTTTAATATTTTATAATTGACTACTATAACTAGATGCAGTTTGTTGCGTCTTTTTCCCAACAAATTTTTTTAGTAATATTTATTTTAAATTTAATTTTTGTAGTGATAATTATTTTAATTCTTGCTGATTCACAAATGTTTGTATAGAACACTGTTAATAAAAGTAATTTAGACGACATGTTTGATTAATCTATCGAAAAAAGTGTTTTTTAATCAGCTTTGTCTGACATTAAGAAAGTTTTTTAAAAAACTTTAGCTCTACTTTTATATCATTTTTATACACAAAAAAAAAGTTCTCCACTAATATCAAATTTTTTTCTTTTTTTTTATTAACTGTAATATAATAACGTAATATAATATCTCAATTAAAATTTGTCACCAAAAAGAAACAGTTTAACCTAACTACAGGCCACTGATTAACTTATCAGTTGATATTTTATTAGTTTGTGCTTTTTAAAGAATAGATAACTATAAAAACAAGCAATTTTGAGAAACTTTTTTACCTTAAATATTGTTTACTTAACTTAAAACTTAACTTATTTTTAAAAAAATCATTTGTCCTTAAATACAGTTTTAAAATAAATTACTTTTTGTTTACATAACAAAAGTTGCAAGCTTTGTACCAAAACATTTCAATACAAGATTTGAAAAATGATTTGACAAAAAAAAAAATTTAATTTAAAAATTGAAATAATAAATCTTGACATACCTGAAATAAAACACGAAGATCCTGGAGCTGCCTCTGCAGTAGGTAAACACGCGGTGCTGACATAATTGTTTACTTGACATTGTTTTGTTAATTTAATAAGTGCTATGTCGTTGTCAAGTGTTTGCGGATTGTAACCTCTGTGTTTTACGATTTTTAATGCTGTAATATCTTCCTCACTTCCTTCATGAACATTAATATTGTGTTCTCCAGTCCTTAAATTCAATATTGAAAGTTTTTATTCATAAAATTGGAATTAAATTTTTAAAAATGAAAAATTTATTATTAAGATTTATTTTAAAAATCAAAAAATTTATATTAAAGTACTTATATCTTTTTAAAATTATTCGGGTTTAAGCACTGGCTTTATAACAAATTATGTTATTCGGGTTTAAGCACTGGCATTATGACAATTTGATTAATTTTGGTAATGCGGTAAATTTTGATGTTTAGATAAGAAACTGTGGACGCATAGTCACGAATGTGATACTTAGTTAGGTAATCGCAATCCTTTCATTTTTATACAGCGAATAGTTGCACAATTTATAGTGAGCAAACCGCCAATGCGGTGACGCCAGTGCTTTGACCATCTATATCTTATTTATGTTAATAAAATATAGAAATCTTTGAATTGGTGCAAAATGTGGGTGTTCAAACTCAATGGTTAATAAGAACTATTGTAAAGGAAACCCAATGTACTTTACATATGGTTTCTAAACGCTATTATCAAATAATTCTTCAATTAGATGCAAAAATAAAACACTGAAAAATAAATTTGTATTTTTATTATATAGAAGGCTTTTCAATAGTTTCCGCCACTAGTTTTGTCCTCAACCCTAAAGGTTAAGGTAGTAAGATACAAAGTTTTATATTATTGTTATTTTAAACTAAATTTAAATTTATAGATTTCAAAATTCAGTTAATTTAGTGTTTTAAAGTTATAATGCAAATAATCTAATGTATAATATATATATATATATATATATATATATATATATATATATATATATATATATATATATATATATATATATATATATATATAAAATGTAGAGTATCTATAATATATATATATATATATATATATATATATATATATATATATATATATATGTATATATATAGTATGTATAATAATGTAGAGTATCTATAATATATATATATATATATATATATATATATATATATATATATATATATATATATATATATATATATATATATATATATATATATATATAAAATATATATATATATATATATATATATATATATATATATATATATATATATATATATATTATAGTGAAAATAATTCTATCATTTTTTGGAGAAAAGAAACTTAAAACGATCATAACCTTTGAACACTGTAACATTATTAGATGAAATTAGAAATCTATAGATGAATATAACTTTAGTTTTGGTAGTTATAGCAAACTCAGTAACTTAATGTTCATTATCTTCTTAAATTACATTAATGTTAATTGTTTATAGAGAAAAGCTCAGCAATTGTTTATTAATAGCAAAAATATATATTTATTATAGGAAAGAAGAATATTGGCGCAATTAAAAAACTAACAGCAATAATGTTAATACTAGAGTTTTTTAAAATATAGATGTCGCAAACAAAAACATATGTTGCAAACAAAAGGGTTCAAAAAATAACTTTTCACCTGATTTTTATTTGTGAAGGGTTGAACTCTTTTCCGTGTATACAATGAGCAGCAGTAAGAATCCATTCTTTATGAATAAGTGTACCTCCACAAAATTCTCTTCCTCCATCCAAAAGCAATACTTGCCAGGGCCAAGAGCCTTTTTTTGGAGTTACACCTGAAATAACGCGACTACTCTGAATTGCTGGGCTTCCGCATCCTATGAAAAAGTTTTGTGTATCAAAACTTGGTGTATCAAAATAACTTTGTATCAATTTAAAGCAATAAAAAATATTAATTTTTTAATCTTAAGTTTAACATTTAAAGATATAATATAAGTTAAAAATAATAGAAATTACCTGTGTCAGGCGTATTGGTTGTTACTGGTCCTATAGAAATTATAAATCATAAAATAATGTCTGATAACATAAAATTGATAGTGTTTTTATTAGTTAATATTTATAAGTTATGTTTTAAAAATATGTAATCTAATTATTTTTTTTAACCAAAAAAAAAAATATTATAAAGAATTTATCAAAAAAATTTATATAATTCGACAGTAATTTAGATAGTGTTTGATTATCAAATATGTTACAAGTTTCTCAAAAACGAAACATTATTGCGTAGTATTATGTAATGTTTACGTTGTTGTAATAACTTATCAATTTTGTCACATTTGTTCATCAGCTAATTTTCTGGTTCTATTGTCTGGTTATAAATTATGTATAACAACTGAACTATAAGACTATACAAAAAATAATTTATGAAAAGACTACTATGACTACCATGCATAATTACTTGCCTATCGGAGGTTGAGTTGTAGGAACGCCAGTTACTGTACCTATATGAAAAATTAAAAAAAAAAAAAATTTTTTCAAAGAAATTGAATTGTTATTTTCGTTTTCTTTCTGTTTAACATGTTTAAATAAAAGTTTCAATCATATATTGCTATAAAAGTTTCAATCATATATTGTTATTTAATAAATCATATATTGTTATAAAAGTTTCAATCATATATTGTTATTTAATAAATCATATATTGTTATAAATGTTTAATTACAGTAGTTGCATGTTTGTGGACAAGTTTGACTCATGTAGGTTTTCCATGTATCATGCGTGCACATTATTTTGTTTCCTTGACACCATTGTGGAAAAATGTCAGTGCAAGCTTTAAAAAAAATTATGAATAGTTCAATTTTTTAAACATTTTTTTACATTATTTATTTAGCATTAAATATCGTTGAAGTGAGAACTAAAATACCTGATGCCGTTGTGATTGTGGCAACTAGCACTGATAAGACAAATATTGTCCTCATGATTTTGAAATAAGCGTTGTAATATTATTTAGGATTTTTTTAAAATCTTTTATAGGACTTGATCTTGTTTGTTCACTCTCACAAACTATTATTTGTTTACTCACTCCACCCAAACATCGACTCACTCCACCCAAACATCGACTCACTCCACCCAAGCAACGACTTGTTTGTACATATTGTACATCTGCTTATTTTTTTTTTTTTTTTTTTTTTTTACTTTTTTTTTTACCAGTTTATTTACCAAACTATTTATTTTATTATTTACCAAGGGTTACTCATTTTTTGTTTGTTATTTTGATAGGGTTTTTTTCTTTGTTAATTTGATAGGGTTTTTTTGTTTGTTATTTTAGTAGGGTTTTATTTTTATATTCTTCTTGATCTAAAAAAAATGAAAATAATTACAGTTCTAAGAGGGTTGGTAAAAAAATACATAAATATCAGACGTATTTGATCTTTAAGTTTTTTTTCCAGACTTTTGTACTGATTGTATAGAAAAATATAAAATTAAATGCAAAAAGAATTTTAAGCCTTTTTAAAATTTAAAAATTAAAATTAAAACATAAAACGCATAACGAATAATAATAAAAAAAATAATAATAATGATAAATAAATAATAGTGATAAAAAAAATATATATAAATAAATAAAAAATTTTAATAAAATAAAAGTTCATAAATATGCTGAAACTATTCTAAAATAAAATATCAATAATAAGGTTTCAACTAAAAATCAATTCAGCTGTCGTTACTGAAGAAACTCAGCTGTTGCAGTTGTAGAAACTCATTTTTTTACTCATCCTAAGTTTAAAGTATTTTTCTTAAAATTTAAAATAATGTTACGTTGATCAGGAACATATCATTCAATATCTACGTAAATAATGTTATCTTTACTTACAGTGATTCAGTTCCAAAAGTTTTACAAGAAGGAAACTTTAAGACCTCCTAATTTTTTCAGGAATTCATCCCAAGCTTGTCTTGAATTACGTTTATACATAAAAACCTGAAACACCCAGTGTTAATAAATCTAGCAAAAAAAAATTTTTTTACTATACATTTTTTATTTTATAATAGTTAGTCAAAAAATTTTTTTTATCTACATTAAAATTTTAAAAATATAATTTTTTAAACATAAATGTTTTGTTTTAGTATTTTATTATTTAAACAAATTTAAATAAAGTTTACGTCGGACGTCTTACGGATGTATGGACCACAAGATTATAAGTTTATAAGTAATAACGTCTATACACTAAACACATTTTTTTTTTTCTTTTATTAGTATATATTTAGCTGTTTACAAACAAACTAAATTTATAGATTTTTACAGATTTACAAAGTTTCTCGTTGTTCAATAAATAAAAAAACTTTCAAAACAGACAGGGACTCAAAGGTGATACGGGTTATTAAATACCTACTTAATCTTTTCATAGAGCCCATTAATATAATAAAACATTATCAAAAAAGTTATAAAAAAGCAATATGCATACTATTTTGATTTTCTTAAAGAACAACTCTTACAAAAATAATTTTTTTCATATTTTAGGCTAACCGAATATTTAAATATTTATAGTTCTATCATTTGTTGTGTGTGTGTGCGTGTGTGTGTGTGTGGGCGTGTGTGTGTGTGTTTGTGTGTGTTTTTTTTGTGTGTGTGTGTGTGTGTGTGTGTGTTTGTGTGTGTGTGTGTGTGTGTGTGTGTGTGTGTGTGTGTGTGAATAGTTGAAAATATACTAAACGGTATACTCTAGCTAGAAATATTTGATGACTGCTAAATATAATCAAGCAGTTTATCATTACATAGAGCATCATAAATGTGAGGCGTTCAAAAAGCAGCTTGATTGTTCAGAATAAGGAAACCTGCAAGTCTATTGGTACTGGTGCAGTCACTATTTTAAGTACTTTTAATGAGTCAGCAACATAAAAGTTTAAACGCTCATTAAATTTGCTGAGCGGGGTTTTGGTAGAACCCGCAAACAAGGAATTGATTTTGTAGCTCTGTATAAAAATATGAACCAAACTAATTTATTTACGAACGGTAAACCAGGCAAAACTTGGTACTATGCTTTCATCAAACGTTGGAAACATCGGTTAAGCGAGAGAATTTCAGTTTAATAGCAAGCTCTTATACTGAAAATAATATAGATAAATATTTCTATACATGCAAAATTCAATTTTAAGAAGCAAACATCGATGAATACTCAGCGTAAAATGTCTAGAATTTTGACGAAACCAACTTCAATGGTGACAAGGTTAATCAAACAATTCCCTCCAATGTGGTTCCAAGCATCCTTTTAAAGTAATATTATCATCATCATCATTGTCAAGCTTTAGCTTTCCCCTTCTATGCTGCTTATCTAATATAAACAATTTCAAGCATCTTCTTTTTATAACTAAAGCTCATTCATACAATATGTACTCTCTTCAATTTTTTTTACTTCTATCACTACCATTTTCTTTTGAAGCTGTTACCTCTCTACATGCTGATACCTAAATCACATTATTCTTCACTGACAAACGTTTTTTGATACAACGTATCCTCCTGGATCCAAGCAGGTTTAGAAGCTTTTATTCCTTCCCTTTACTTTTAAGTTAAGCACCATTCTACTCCACGTTTTTCATCTTCTTATGCAGTTGATATATTAAACAGTATTCTTTTTTTAAAAAACTTTTTTAGAAGAACATCTCTCTGAGAACAAATTTCTTTTTATTATTGCAAAAAGATAATGCAAAAAGGTCCTGACTAATGTTATGCTCTATTATTCTCAGTTTACTAAATCTTGTATCTCAGGTGTTAGGTTATAGAGATTTTTTGGAAAGTCTTCAACAGTGTCATTAACTAAATAAGTCTAACATTTAATTTCTAATTCATGGATCTGATCTTATTAATTCTCCCAAGAGTAAAGCAGAGTTATTTGGAAAGAAATTTTTCTCTAACCTAAATCATAAACCTAATGACCATACTCTTCCTGCCATTTCAGTTAAACAGCTTAACCCCTTGTTATACATTCAAATCACGTTGGCTTATCATTAAGTTAATTCTTAATTAAATTGTTCTAAAGCTTGAAAAACATAAAGATTTTTGCTAAACTATTAATAAGTGCTAAATAAATGGTTCCAATTTTTAAAAAGTTTCTACTTTTGTCTTGACAAAAATTCTTCACTTTTTGATTGCTTTGAATAAGTAGCCAATTTTCGATCTGATCTCTCTTAAGTCTAAACTTAAAATCCACAAGTTACTTGTTTGTTGGACAAAAAAACTCATTTATTTACTGCAAACAGCTATCGCAATATTGTTGGCATTCTTATATTGACGTATAAAAACCCTCTTACTCTCAGACAAAGTCTAAAAGTACATTGTTAATGGAATTAGACTTGCTTTATCTTCCAAACTTGAGCCACTCTCCCATTGTTGTAAAGTTGCATTTCTTTCTTTTTTTTACAAGTATTAACTCATTCTCATTCTCACTTGGCTTCTTATTCAGCAAGTCGCATCATTTTGCTGTATCTGTCCCTTCATGCTACAAAAACTTTTATTAGTCCAGTTTTTTTCTTGTACACTAACGAAACCTCTTAACTCTTACCCATCTTCATTTTTTTCCTGACTTATACAATCTACAATATTCTAAGTCTCAATTTTCTAGTGACTCATAACTTAATAACGGTTGCTTGCAACCATTGTTGGAAGGAAACTAGTTTAGAAAATTTATAAAAATATGCTCGTATTTAATAAATAGTAAGTATATGCAATTATTTATAATATTAAAAGTGTTATAAGCTTTTTTATAGCCCGGCTAACAATAGGGTGGTACATTTTAAACTTTTTTTTGAAATTTAAATCAGGGTTTTTACCCGTGATAACATTTGATCTGAAAACCCTAAATGCAAAAAATTTCGAATTTAGGACTATTTATAGGACTATTATTAAAACATTTGAATATCGGATTGCGCAAGTGTTGCGCAACATTTTTCTCCACTTATTGATATTGTTACTTAATGGGGTTAACACAATTTAATTATTAATCATTAAAAAAATAATTTATATTTTTATTTTTTAATGATTAATAGTTAAATAGCCGTTACTGAGTTTCTTCAGTAACGGCTATTTTTACATATCTCACAAAAGATTTATGAAAAAGCAGCTATGAATTTTCGCCGATAAAAAAAGATTTTTTTTTCGTCGCGCAAAATAATAATTGGAGGTTTCAGTTTATAACGAGTGAATACTTTAGGTCTAAGTAAGTTTATAAGTTTCTGACCTATTATAGTCTTTTCTGCAACTCATAGAGTCGTTGAATAACGAAAAAACTACTAGCTCCTCAGATAAGTATCCCAGGTGTCGTTTAAAATACTTGATGGTTTTTCTCCACTTTTAAGGTCGATTGATTTAAATTTCCTCATTAAATAAAAAAATGCAGGTTAATTAGCTGGAGCAGCAGCAGTAATAGCAGATTGAAGAAAGTAATTTCTGTAAAACTCGGCCATTCTCTCAACCTTTGTTTCTTTTTCATCATTATATTCAAAAGTACGAGATCAGAACCGACATACCGAATGAGATCAGAACCGACATACCGAATGCTGAAACTTCTTTTATCGACCGAAAAAAATAGATTAAGCTCCACTATTTATCAATAGTCCTTATGAGAAAATGCTTTTCTCTCCAAGTATTTCGTTGCACATTTCTTTACTTCAAGTGCTTGTTGAAACAAAAAATATTTTGATCATGAGGCCAGTCCCACACTCTAAGTTCTTTTACATTATTTTCAAGGTTATAAAATTCTTCTTTGAATCTTTCAAATAGCTGAACTCTTGGTGATTTATTCAAACCACAAATAGCATTGGATGTTGCTTTTATAAAGAGCTCTGGAATATGATGTGTACATTTAGGTCGGAGTAGAGAATGATCAATTTGCTTCTCAATTAGAATTGCAGCTCCATTATACGCTCCACTGTTTGCAAGTATTGTATCATAGACAAGAGATATATTATCAATAAAAAAAAATGGAAAACATAGTTTATAGATTTGTAAAAGATACAAAAACCACCACCAACGTGGGCTTGACGCGCTAGGTGAACTGATACGTAATTACTTGGCTCATAATTAGTATTTTTTTTCATTGCTTTTCAACCACGCTTCCGTGAGATTAATTATTTTAAAATCATGACTAAGATAATGCAATATTAATTTTAGATTATCAAAATATTTATTAATTCTGCAAGGGCGAATTAAGGGTTTTATATTGGTGTAGCTAAAATTTATATGGGAAATATAAATTTATATATATATATATATATATATATATATATATATATATATATATATATATATATATATATATATATATATATATATATATATATATATATATATATATATATAATACGAACAGAAAAAGAATCCAGAAATGGAGGGCTTTTTTTATATGGGGTGATTCAAAATGAGAGAATTTTCAAAATAAAAATACGTATCTCGTTAAATTTGGTGCAAATATATAAAAAATAGTTTTTAAACATACTGGTCACTTTCTGACTATTCTAGACCCTCCCTCAAGGCTCATTTTTGTGAAAAAATATTTAAATTTTTTTGTCAAAAATTGCTGATTTCTGTGGTTGAGGAAGAGTCTAATATAAACCAATTTGGCTGAATTAAAAAAAAGGGCCTACACTACATATATTTTGCATTTAAAATCATACATATTTTTGTTTTATTACCGAGTATTTATTATTCAATTTATCCATAATTTAGCAAAATTTATGACTTTTGTTGTGATATTAAGAAAGCATTTGGAGTATACAAATACATTTTTTCTAATATAACAAAAATGTTTTTGGTTAAAAATATTGTACATTGCTTGCTACTTTAATTAGTTACGTATTTGAAGGTAAGTTTCCATGACATTCTTTCATCCTCCTCCGCCTGCCATTTTCCAAAATAAAATAAATAGCAAACCATTTTTACTAAAGTTTCATATGAATTTATTTCTAAATAAAAAAACAATTAATATGAAGCCACTACATTGGTTTAAAATTTGAAATTTACATTTTTGATTTTGAATTTTAAAATTCAAAATGAAAATTTAAGTAACTGAACATGTATTGATATGAGTAATTAGAAACACAAGATTTTGCGCAATAAAAGTTTGAGATATTCTAAAAAGATTTTTCATATTATCGATAAGCTACGCCTGCTATTTTAGGTATGTGTTGCATAGAAATAAAAATAATGTACAGTCATCGATTCGGTTTTATGATATTTTGTATTTACCTGAAAAGAAGTCATGGTCACTAAAACACATTTTCATCTCAATATCGACACTAATCTATCACACTATTATACTCTGTAAGATAAGTAATGCGCGCTTATTTATACTATTTATATAGTATTGGTAATACTATTTTCATAAAAGCTTCTATGGTTTAGTAACACAACTTCCAACGGGTATGAATATCTTGCATCACTTTAAATATTATCAATCAAATTTGCCAAATACAATTACAAAAAAAAGGATATTCTATATTGTCTTCAAAGTAAAATTTAAAGGTTGATAAGTGTCAACTAGTTGAATGTGAATGTATCGTGGCGAAAATAAAACATCCATGGATTAAAGCAGGGTTATTAACGACGTAAATATTCCAGTTATTAACGACGTAAATATTCGAAAATGTTTAAAAAATCTTGAGCAAAAATATTCTTATTTAATAAAGAATGTCAAAAGAAACTCAAAACAAGACATTAAAAATCAAATAGGATTTGAAAATTTTGTTGAACATATTTTTTGGATAGGAATTCCAGAACTAAAAGATTTTATTCAAAGTGACAAGCTAAGATCCAATGAATCTAAAATCGAAAATTTACATTTCTTAGAAGATCAAGAAGGTTCAAGATTATATCATTTGGATCCTCTAATCACTAAATATACTGAGAAAGTTATTTGACTATGTTTTGGTTGTGAGAATTTGCATAGCGTAAGTTTTATTTTTTTTTAAATGTTTAGGCAGTTTTGCGTCAGATCTTAATTAAATGATGCTCTCAAGGTAGATGAACTATTGTGTTACTATACTATATGGAGTGAAGTACTATACACTATGTCGATTCTCATACACACATTTAGTTTTTAAATAATATACTCTTTATAGTTTGATAAATTCATAAATATGCTCTAACTTTGTGTTTTTGTCACTCCAACGACTTATAACTAATATAGTTATTTTTGTATAAGGTAAAATTGTTAAATATAAAGTGCAAAAATGTAATGAAAGCCGAGTAAAATCTGAAAATTTTTAGAAGAAGACGTTAGGAGTAATGATGAACTAAGTTCAGATAACTTTTCTGATTCTGACTTCGAACCAGGCGAATGGATAAAAAGAAAAAATAAACCAAGCAGTACAAAAATTTGGGCCAACATTCCTAAAGATATTTATTCCGGAAATGTTGCTTTAATGGCAACTGTTGATAACATCTCTCCTATGTTTCTGCAGAGATCCTAGTTCGAAACGAGCTCTGGACATATTTTCGCGTCACGGTAAGGAAGGAGGCATGAACTTCCTGGTTAAATGCACATTCTCGGTGCTCTGTGACAAGACAGTTAGGTCTTCTTGGGGCACCTAAATAACAAAAAAAAAAAAAAAATTACAACGGTGGTTGTTCAAACTGTAGGAGTAGACATGAACGCCATCAAATCAAGTCTCTCAATTGCATCTAGAAGAATGAAAAGAGAAAGTAAAGAAATTTCAAATATTGCTACAGAAGATATTAAAACAAAAGTACGTTTATCTACATTCCCATGTATAATTCATTTTGATTAAAAAAAAAACTATATTTGAGACAATTAAAGGAAAGAAACTAAAATGCGCACGATTTGCTGTACTAGTGAATATTAATGGTGAATCATATTTGTTTGGTGTACCTTCTTTACCATCCTCTTCAGAAGACGATCAATATAAAGGAATAATGCAGTTCCTAGATGAATATGGCATTAAATCAAATGTTAGTGGATTGTGCTTTGACACAACAGCAACAAATACTACCATTACGAAAGGGACTTTTAATAGAATTACCTATGATTTAGGTAAATACATTCTCTAGCTTGCTTGCAGGCACCATATTACAGAGCTTAGAATAAGCTCTGAACTTTGTCTATGGTAACCATAGACAAAGTTCGTTATGCCATGAAAAAACCTGAAAAAACTCTAGCAAGATGACAAAAAGGAATATGGTAATAGGTTTAAATAACATTAATAATTTCAAGACATTTTTTTTCTTTTGAAGTTTTTTTTGTAAGGTAAATAGAAAACCTAGTTTTTATCATAATTGGCGTGAGTAACTTAATAATTAATTTTGGCGCAAAAACTTGAATTGATTTTTAATCAGTAAAAAAATGAGGGGGAATCCGGGGTACTATTTGAATATATATATTCGTGGTACTAATTGAAGTAACAAGCAATTTACAATATTATCAACCAAAAAATTTTTTTATTACACATGGCCGTTGATACGGGGGATGGGCTTCCCCCCCCCCACCTCTTTTTTTTCGGAGACTTTTTTTTTATTTATAAAATTGAAAAATGGGCTCCCCCTTCACTTTGAAGGCCGTTTCAATGGTCTCGTTATATTAGAAAAAATGAATTTGTATACTCCAAATGCTTTCTTAGTATCCAACAAACTCACCAATTTAGTGAATTTATGGATAATTTGAATGAAAAATACTCAGTAATAAAACCAAAACAAAAATACGTATGATTTTAAACGTAAGATATAAGTAGTGTTTCTTTTTTTTAATTCAGCCAAATTGGTTTATATTAGACCTCAACGTCACTGAAAACAGCAACTTATGACAAAAAAATTGACATTTTTTTTACAAAAATGAGCCTTAAGGGAGGGTCTAGAAAATGTCCGATATGCTTTAAAACCTACTTTCTATGTATTTGCACTAAATTTAACGAGATACGTACTTTTGTTTTGAAAATTCTCTCACTCTGAATCACCCTAATATGTATATATATATATATATATATATATATATATATATATATATATATATATATATATATATATATATATATATATATATATATATATATATATATATAATATATATATATATATATATATATATATATATATATATATATATATATATATATATATACCAGGGTACTATATATATATATATATATATAGTACCCTGCATTAAAGATTTTTTTGAAAATCGCCCAGAATAAGGACGCAGCCAGATATAGGTCAGTTTATCCTAAATAAATAACTATGTAGGTTGAACGGAGTAACATATCGGCGTCAAGAAAAAGATCGAAAAAATAATAAAAAGTGTTTTTTTTTTTTAATTGTTAAGTCTAGATATAAAAAACAAATTAGTATAAAAACAAGTATCATATATTGTAATTTAATGGGCTAAATAATCTTTTTTGATGTGCTAGAACCCAAAAAAAGCAATTTAAAACAGTTTATTTACTTGTCAAAAAGTGTAAATAAAATAAACTATCAAGAAAACGACTTGAAAAATCTTCTAGCATCTTTTTTAAGAAACTTTGAAGAATAATCTCCACAGATCAACATTTTTTTCAAATTTTTGCCAATGGTATAACTGGCAATTAGGTTTGAAATTAGGCACCATGAAAAAAATTCCCGAAAAAGTTGCCGAAAAATTTTCTGTTTATATTCTAAACTTGTCGCAAAAGTCACGTGACTGCCTATAAGTTATAACAATAAGCACAGAAACTGTTGTATATAAGCATGGAAGTATAAAACAGATGGAAGTTCAACTGCATTGAAATTCTTTGGGACTATGCTCGTAACCTTTTGTTTCGTAAACAATAAGAAAACGACATCAAGACTGTACTTAAACGCCTAATTTTTATACGTTGACGCAAATAGGTACGTTTATAATTATTTAAAAATAAAGGTTCGCCAATAATATTCTAAAAATGGCACAACAAAACGGCAAACAACAACTTTTTTATAAATTTCATATTAAATGAATGGAGTACTACAAGAATGAATGAAGTTATTATATACAGCTAATAAAACTTTAAACTTTAGATATCTAGAAAACAATTTTTTTGATTTTTTAAAAATTGTTTTAGTTGTCTTTTTTATCAAATATCGTGTTATGACTTGAAGCAAGAAAAGAAGCTTTAACTAACATATGCTTTTAAAAGTGGTTCTATTTAATTACCGAGTTTTAATAAACTTTTTGCTGAATAATTGCAATTACTAATGGTTAAAAATTTGCAGCATATCCCTAGAATTTTTTAATTTTTAATTTTTTAATGTTTTAATAAAGATCATTTCAGTGAATTTTGTTGTATTGTTATCCAGTGAAATTTGTTTTTTTTTAATTGTCGGTTACAAGCATACTCCTGAGACGACTTGAAATTGCTTTGATGCTTGCGGCTCGATGAACTTCCATCTGTTTTATACTTCCATGATATAAGTAAACATAACTACACTTATAAAAAGATCCATTTTAAAAGACGGTATAAAAACATTAATATCTGGGTATTTTCTAGCCAAAAGTTTAACAATAAATTAAACTGGTGAGATATTTAAACCATTTGATTTTGTAAACAGGTTGTTTTGTTTTTTTTTTTTGCAACATTTTATGTTTTTGAAAGTCATAAGTATCGATAGCATTTTGAACAGTATTCTTTTAAAACATATCCGCCTTAATTATCAATTTACTAAAAAAATGATAAAGGAACTTGGATTATTTTAATATAACTTGACATAAACAGACTGAGAGTACAACTACAAGGCAAAAAGCAATCTAGCCACGGGCTTCGAGAGTTGACGACATACAACTTTACAATAAAAACATATTACTTTAAATAATTTAGTCAGCCTATGTCGTAAAATTCTCAGCCTATGCCGTTTGTGGCTTAGCCACAGAGCTATTTTATACGGTGCAATAACCGATTTTATTTTTTGATACGTTTTTTGTTTAGTTTTGAGTGATCGCTATTAATTTTAAACTGCCAATTTTATTCGGCAAATAAAAAATAAACTTATCGTAATTATAAGCGATCGTTTTTACTTTGAAAATATGTTGAATATTAAAAAAATTAAAAAATTAAAAAAGATATTTAAAAATGCTGGCTATACTTCAGTTTTTAAATCACCAAAAAACCTTCAACAGTTAATAACTCAAAAAAACAAGCCTCGACTTCCCAACAACTCTTATCCAGGAGTCTACAAACTGGAGTATTCGCGTGGAAATTTTTATGTAGGTGAAACAAAACTCAAGGTTTCAAATTGCATTTACCAACATCAAAAACATACTTTTGAGGGAAAATGGAAAAATATGGCTGTGGCGGGGCATTCCAGAAATTGCCATGAGGCCTTAAGCTGGAATAAAAAAAACACTATTAAAGTAGAAGTTGACTATTTTAAGAGAAAAGTGAGAGATTCTTTGGAAATTCAGTATCACCAGTGCTCTCCAAATGAAGGTGGTTTGAATGAAGACGACGGTGATTACGTCACGTCGTTGTTTTGGAAATCTTATTTTTCTTATTTGAGACGCAAGAACACATTAAATTGAAGTTTTATTATTTGTTTATTTCTTTTTTTTAACGTTTTTTTTATATTACTTGAGTAACAAGGGTATATATAACCCCTAGAAATATTGTACTTTATTATAAAGAATTATATAAGGATAAGTTTACATACTATAACAGATGTTTTAACTTAATTAAAATATGTTCAATATTTTATAAAGAATTTAAAAATTTACCCAAATTGCTAAACATACTCAAACAGACTAAATACCAGAAAAATTAGAAAAAAAAAATTGATTTTAACAATATAATCAGCCATTGAAGAATCAATCCATGCAACATCGAAGAAAAAATAAATAAAAATGCAAAAAAAGTGTCCAAAACGTTAGAACAAAATTGAAACAAATGAAAATAACCATTGGTTTCCATGCGAAAAATTATAATATCAATGCTAGGTGTGTTTAGCATGCTTGCAAAAAAAAAAAAAAAAATACACTTTTAGAAATAAGTTCATTGTACTAAAATTTGTTGAGACTGATACCTTTTGCTTCACTTTATCTTTGTAAACAATTGCTTCATTTAATCTATTTAAATATTTTATGTCTATTATTTGCATAACTTTAATTGTATGGCTAATTCATACGTTTAACTTAAAAAGACAATATATGATTGAACTTTTTTTTTTTAAATGCTTGTAATTTAAAAACTAAGTAAAAGTGTAAAATAAAATTTATACAATCTTGTGGAGCAAATAATTAAATCTTTATAAAAAAATTAAAAAATAAGATTTTTTTAACCACTCAACAAATAAAAAATTAAAAGTTACAAGTTTTATGTGGTCATAATTTTGAACTAGAATGTTTTATGAAATCCGAATTCAACGCTAGGTAGACGAACTGTTAAAAAAAAGATCGTAAAAATGATAAAAACCGGCATACCTCCATCTTCAAAAAACCTTGTTTCCTTTTTAAACACTGAAATCGCATGCGCGTTTTTGTTATTTTTCGACAATCTTATAGTTTATTCGTTTGCAAATGGCTTTATACCTCTCCTTGATTTCTAAGAATTTACTTTTTCATCAATCTCAAATTCAAAGTGAAAAATTTTCTGGGCTCGTTCCTCAACAGTAGTGCTTTGAATCTAAAGTCCTTTTTGATTTACAATATCCAACACTAAACTAAGAATGGTTGGTTTAGATACCCGTAGATAATTGAAATTTATTAAGTTTGTGTTTCTAATATCATATTTTAGAGGTTTATGCAAATAAGAAATTAAATCGGAAAACTTATGTTTTCCGATTCACTGATATGTTATTTTAACGTTCTGAGAAGTTTTGCTCAGCGATGAGAAAATTTCACTCAGTATGTCAAATGTAAATCAAGTTGTTGCATCCGCAGAAATTAAGTTAGCATCCATAAGACAAAGTGTCTCAACAGCTAATTTAAATTGCAAAAGTGCTGAGAAGTTAAAACATTTACAAAATTGGTGTTTCAAAATGTATACGCAAATTTTACATCTTCCTGTTCTTTTTTTATATCTACTCGAGTGTTGCCTCTGCACCAACGCTGAAAATACCGGAGGGAGATAAAGTTAGATGGGGATTAAGGGTACAAAACTCCTTCCCTTTTATATTCTGAAATAAAATTTTTAAAAGGTTATAAATGTTGTAAAAAATAGCTTTATGAACAAATATATCAAATCATTAATTTTTGTTAATACCACACTTTTTAAAAAATTATTGAAAAAGTTCTCAACCTTCCTCCTCAACCTTTAATTATATCTGCTTTGTTTACATGCTTATCTGCTTTGTTTTTAATTTTTCAAACTTTACAAATTAAATATTTGTTAAAAGGTAATTACAAATTTATACTGACCTTTGTTTTCAAAGTGATCCGCTAGTCTTTCTAATGGTTTGTTTTAATTTAAATGGTTTTTAATAGATTTGGACTAAACCTTCAAATGAGTTGTGGCAGGCTCCCTGTAAGTTTGAAAAATGTCATTTTTAATCCAAAATTAAAAGTTTAATTTACATTTTAAAAGAAAGAAATTTACGTCTTTTAATTATATTAATCCTGTAAAAATAAACTACACGTGATTTTATCGGATAACTCTTGTGAAGTTGCCTGTTATATTGTTGCCAAAATATTAATTAATAACCAATATTTTGGCAATGTTTGTAATATGTTGCTAATTGCTTCGTACTCACTATTATCAACAGTAGTCAACTTACCACGATTATTTAGAAAACTTGTCTAGAGTTTTACAACTATAAGTTGTCAAGGTTTATAAATCCATCATTAACGCTTTTACAATATATCTGTGACAGTTTTTCTATGATTGATCACGTGTTTGAAGTTATTTATAAGTCTCAAATAAATCACGGTTAGAATACCAACCATTTTTATGTTCAAATCACCAAAATTGGGGAAAAGAAATACACTGTTACTTCAAAAATTTATTTTAACAACAACGGAAGGAGAGTTTGTGATTTGATTGTTGCATTAAAAAAAAAAAATGAACATATTTTGTTTTATATCAGTTTGTGTTGGATATTTTTATTCATTTAAAGCTCATTTTTAATGATTTTTGCATTTTATTTCTTGCACAGTCCTTAACAGTCTCAAAAACTTTACAACAAATAAAGTTAGAGATACAATCATTATGAAAAACATTTATTAACTGTAATAATTATCTATTATTAAAAAAAACAAACAATTAAGTTAAAGTTTCTGTATTTTATTCAGAATCATATTGGTCCTTTGGGTTTTACTAAATTTTGTTGAGATTTAAGTGTTTAAGGTTTTGTTAGTGTTTTTATCTCATTTTCTTCACATGTTTTCTATTATTATTTAACTTAAATAATTATCATCGTTAAACAATAAAATCTTGTTGTTACTAGTTTTAAGTGGTATCGAGTAAATAGTGCATTTTATCTAGATACTTTAAGCGTTCTTTGTTTTGTCTGCTCATGCGTCGCACAAACTTTGATAAACCTTTGGTAGTTTTTTCTGTTCAATAAGAACTTTGAAATTCGTTTTTGGAATCAATTAGTTGAACAGCAATTAAATTCTTTAAACAACGTTAAAGTATTCAAATGCACAAAAGCAGATATAAGTACTGTATGATTTTCCAATTATGTTTTATTTTGTTTTAAGGACTTTTTCGATTTTGAAAATTGACTCCGTACTTTAATGCTTCAAATTAGCGGGAATAAATATATAATTTTTCCATAGAAAAACTAAAGTAAGATGCGGTAATTTCGTCACTAATTCTCTCAATTTAAATAACTTGAGAACTAAAAATGAAAATCGAATTTTTTTTTTATTCCTAATAAGATTTTTATAAACTTTACATACTTTAATTTTTTTTTTAAATAACTAGAACAAAAAAAGTAGGGTGCCGAAATTTCCCAATAAAATCTAATTTCGAGGAAATTTCGCCTCCTATGTTATTTACAACATAAATTTTTTGTTTTGAATTATAAATCTTAACAACACATTTACAATCAGTTAAATAAAAGAAATATTACAATATTCAATAAGTGGCATGGGGTATGGCTATCGATACCAAGAGGTATCGGGCATGGCCATCTTTATACTAACATACTTTATACTAAGTATAAAGATGGTCATGGTATCGGGGCATTCCCCCTCCACCATTTTTACTTTTTTTTTCTTTTTTTTTTAGAAATGTAGGATATTTTAGGAGATTTGTTAATGAACCAGCCCCAGCTATCCTTTCTAGATGTTGAATTCTTTTTCCTAGTGTCCTTCGAGGTATACAGTATAACTCTGCAGCTCGCTTGCAACTCAGTTTGCCAGCTTTAACTTTTGTAATGGCCTTTTGCATTAGCTCTTCGCTATAATTGGTGACGGATTTTCTTTTGTAGTTTCGCGGTATTGTTGCTGATAATTGATCGATTTAATCAATTTGAATTGATTATAAGACCAACATGACCTGAGAAATTAATTACCAAAACAAGAGGGAGGGAAATAGTATTAATTATCCAATCAAAGCGCATTTCTATTTAATATAAATAGATGGCGAAATTCCCCCATTTACGTAATAACTTTGGAACCGATCAAAATTAGAAAGAAAAAAACAATACAAAGATTCTTTGAAAAATATCCAATATTTTAGTCTTTTAAATTTTGAATGGAAATAAATAATTTGATTTTCATAAGAATTTTAAATTTCCTGTTTTTTTATAGACTATTTTTGTCAATTAATTTTCTTATAAAGTTTTCACAAAAAGAAAATTTTTTTTTTACATAGTTTGATAAGAAATTTGTTTTTCTTCTAGGGGGCTGTTCTTAAATTATGTCAACAAAATAGGGGAAAGGAAGGGTCTGAATTTTTTTGACATTTGTTGACAAGGGGGAGGGGGGAAGGTAAAAACGTTTGACGTCAACAATGTAACTTTTTTTAAATAAATTTAGTTACTTAAAAAAAGAAAAATTAGCCAGCATTTGCAGTCCTGTGTTACATACTCTTCAAACCTTCAATATTTTAATAAAGCTATTGATATTCCTAGTTTTTAAAAACCGTGTTGTGTTTTAAAAAGACCCGACACGTACAGAACTAAATAAGCACACACGGGATGTTTACTCGTAACACTATTATTTTTTCAAAGTTGTTGTTTGTTAGTCTGCTATGCAAAAAAAAAAAAGCAAAAAGTTGCAATTTACAAAGTTTTAGTCCGATGTGAGAACAAAAATATATATATATATATATATATATATATATATATATATATATATATATATATATATATATATATATATATATATATATATATATATATATATATATATATATATATATATATATATATATATATATATATTAACTAGACGTTAATACCAGGTGTGGACAAACTGCAGTTGATGCGGCTCGTTAGCTCCATGCACAAATATTAATATAATATCTTATTAATAAAGATTTGGTAGATGATTTGAAAAAAAAGATTTGAAATAAAGATATTGGTAGCTCTTTAAAAATTCTGTTTTTAAAGTGTTACCAACATCTTTATTTCAATATTATATTAATACTTCTGCATGGAGCTAAATAGGCGCATCTTGACATTGAAAGAACCACACGAGGTTTGCAAGCCGCAGGTTGCCGACCCCTGGTATAAACGTTTAAATAATATAATGTAGACCATGTGCTTACATAATTCTTTTTTTTTTGCACATCAAACTAAAACTTTGTAAATTGCAACTTTTTGCTTTTCTGTCTTAATAGGTTGCTGACCCCTGTTTTATACAATTTGTTAAATGCATTTTTCGTTATACTAAACTCTTAGAAATAATTGGCTTTTACTGTGAAATTAACTTAGGCCTAAAGTTAAAGTGAGGAGGATTGGCAAATTGAAGTGTTGCATTAATTTCAAATATGTTCATATATTAAACGTGTTAGATGTATACATTTTTTTGAACACTCTTTAATCTTTATTTTTTTGTTTTGTAAGTTTTTGTAGCTATAAACTAGAAATTCGTTTTCAAGCTAAAGGTTTAATAACTTTTTTTATATACCGTTCACTTTAATTCACTTTTTGTTCAAAGCAAGCGTTTGTAATTTTTAATGTTTCTCTAAATAATTTATATTTTAATCTCTTTTTTATTTTACTTAAAAACTAGTCTGTTCAAAATATTGTTTGTTTTTGTTCCATTTAATTTTTTTTTTTGAAAGGGAGGGGGGGGGGAATTTAATGTGGACTCAATTTTTTAGGGAGTCTCTGGAAGTCTGACAAGTTACTGACAAGAGAAAGGCAAAAATTGCCAAAAAATTGTTGATGTAATTAATGGACAGCCCCTAATAGAAATTTGATTTATAAAAGTCTTATTCCTGAGTAAAGTTATAGTTATAAAAGTAGATATACACCAATTGGTGGTGAAATTTCTTGAGGCGAAATTACCCCATTTTACTCTATATATTTTAAAAAAATATATAGTTTTTATGATGATTTTAAATATGTTTTTTTTAACTGCATGCGTATCAAGTGTAACAATATATCGTGGTCCCTAATTATAAATATATCGTGGTCCCTATTAAATAAATATATTAAATAAAATATATTAAATAAATGTATTAAATAAATGTATTGTGGTCCCTATTTATTTAACAAAATAGTTTCCAGAAACGAATCACTATTAAATCTAAACAACAAACACTCTTTGAAAATAAAGCTAGAATCTACAATAATCAAATTAAACAGCTATAAGGAATTTTTTTTAAATTTTATTAAAAAAAATTTTAAAAAAATGTAGCTTAACTTTTAATACAAATCGATAATAAAAAATAATAATGTTAATAAAAAGGTAAATATGTACAACATACATATATACCACGTTTACAACTGATTTTTATGCGTATTACACGTCCAGATAAAGGTACTCGATGACAAGACTGACTTAAGTCTTCTGCGAGCTTCCTATAACTACTAACAAGTAATTCTACTTATCAATCTTACACAAATTTCGTTTTTATCATATTTATACACAAACATTAGTTTGAAATGTGGTAAATAAACTTATAGTCAAATTTCTAAACACGTCTCCGAAAAATCAGCTAATTTATTTTTATTTATTGTATATTTTTATTTTAACTGGAACAATATAGAGATATATTTATCGGATTATATTTATGTACACGTTATAACGTGATCGGATTATATTTATGTACACGTTATAACGTGTACATAAATATAATCCGATAAATATATCTCTATATTATTCCAGTTAAAATGAAAATATACAATAAATAAAAATAACCAATCACAGATTGGTGGTAATAGTAGTAACGTTACTGCATTGTTGTAATTGGCGTTTATTTTAACCGTGTCTCGGAGTTGTATGCAACTATATTTTTGTTTACTTTGTATATTTCAAACTTTATGTTTATGATATTTATGCTAGTATATCTTTAGCGCCAATCTGTGATTGGTTACTTGTAAATACTTTGTAATTGTAAAATAAACATGTAAAAAAAAAAAAAAAAAAGTGCATTAATGTAATTTTTTTTTTTGTCTAAATATATATCGTGAATTTTTGACAATTTAAACTTCAATTTCATAGATAATAAAACTTTTTTTTATTTAATAAAACAAGTTCTTACATATGTAAGATTTACTTAAAATTTTGACTTATGTAACTTTGTTTTAGTCACAAAATTATTGTGACATTGCATTATCAATCCATGATCTGAAGTAACCAACATTTGCAAAGACTGTGTAGGTTTTGTTTGATCGACAATCTCCAGATCCATGACTAACAGCTCCGTGAACAAACCATTTTCCGCCAACGTCACAAACAAGTGGACCACCGCTATCACCATGACAGCCAGAAATTGGTGTTGCTCCACCGTCACCGGCGCAAAGCATGCCTTTTGATATAGTAGTTGGTATTGTTTTTCTGTTCAAATTTTCGCACGTTTGTCGATCAACAACGTTCATTTTTGCTTCCTGAAGAATGTTTGTCATACTTCCAGGGTGAACTGTTTTGCCCCATCCTAAATTACATCTTTACAGTAAAAATTTGTTTAAGTTCATATACTTTAAGTTCATTTAATAGAAGTTTGTCTTTGTCTATATAATATCTTGTGAAGTTATTCATAAGAAGTTTGTTTTAATATTTTATAATTGCTAACTCTAACTAGATGTTATAAACTTTATTTTTTTAGCTCCAAACATAGTTGTAATTTTATTTTTGTGTTTGTCACAAACATAGTTGTAACTTTATTTTATTTTTGTGTTTGTCACAAACATAGTTGTAACTTTATTTAATTTTTGTGTTTGTCACAAAAGAAACACCTAACGACGAGCCACTTATTAAGTAGTTTTGTTTGCTAGCTTATATCATTGAGTATTAATTAGTGTTGTTATCGACTAAATTGACTAAGAGTCTACTTGTCGAAATTAGTTAACTTTGAAAAATCTTATCGTCGATTTATTCGGCTGTGATTTGACTAAAAGCCGACTTAGTCGAGTCATAATTCTAATATTCCTATAACTTTTTATTCGCTTTAACTTTATCAATCTTTAATTTTTGTTTTTTCATTTAATAACAATACCAAGTGGGCTCGAACGTAAAAAAGACATCTTTTAAACGTCTTATACACGTTTTGGGCGTCTTTTAAACGACTTTTGAACGTCTTTTTTTGGTCCGGTGCCCACTGGGTAACATGTACTATTGTAACAATTACGTACAACTTAGTTTTTTGTTTATTCTTTTAACGTTTTTTTTTTTTTTAACTCCTAGCATCAAAGCAATGCTTTTACCTTATTAAACTTTGCATATCGATCTGTTTTCATATTGATTTTTTTCATATGATATTAAAAAATGGAAAGCAAATAAAAATTACTTCATTATTTTTATGTAAATTTTTTTCGGAAAAAAGTTTATTTCCATATTTCCTTTCGACTTAGTTGATTTCAAAAATGTATTAGTCGAATTAAATCTACTTTAGAAAATATATAACTCGATTTAGTCGACAGTTAAATTATTTAAAAGTTGTAACAACACTAGTATTTATATTCTTTATTTTTAAGAAATTAATCCTCGTGATAATAATAATGAAAAAAAACTTAAAACTTAGTACTATAAGTTTTTGAAAACATCCCGAGTAGCAAACAATACTATAAATTTTTGAAAACATCTCGAGTAGCAAAAAATACTATAAGTTTTTGAAAACATCCCGAGTAGCAAACAATATTAGCGCAATATTGTTTACAGTATGTAAAGTATATAAACATTATTGTGCCAATATTGTTTGCTACTCGGAATTAACCGTGGTAAAAAAAAAAATTAAAAAAAAAAAGGTTATTATATATGTATATCAATCGTTTTTAGGGATATTTGATTGGGCTGGTCAAAATGATTGATCAAGCTTCATCTTTTACAGGCAATAATAAAAAAAGTTGATAAAAAAGATTAACTTTGTCACAAAATCAGTACTTTTTAGTGTTTTCTATTTTGAGTTTACTAAAACCTAAAGTTACTTTAACGTAAAAAAGTTGTTAAGTGTAATTCAGTTTAGAAACAGACTTTTTTTGTTTATATAACATAGGTCACAAACTTAGATCCGAAACATTTCCATGCAACATTTTAAAAGGCTAAAACTAAAATTAATAAAACTTGACATACCAGTAATAACACATGAAGATCCTGGTGCTGCTTCCGTAGTAGGTAAACATGCGGTGCTTACGTAACTGGTTAGATTACATTGTTTTGTTAATTTAACAATTGCTATGTCGTTGTCAAGTGTTTGTGGATTGTAACCTCTATGTTTTATGATTTTTAATGCTGGAATATCTTCCTCAGTTCCTTCATTAATATTTACATTGTGTTCTCCAGTTCTTAAATTCAATATTAGAAGTTTTATTAAAATAGTTAAAACTAAAATAAAAAAACACATTTTTTTTATAAATTTTAAAATATATATATGTATATATATATATATATATATATATATATATATATATATATATATATATATATATATATATATATATATATATATATATATATATATATATATATATATATATATATATATATATATATATATATATATGTATGTATATATATATATATATGTGTGTGTGTGTGTGTTCATCTTTTTTTTTAATTCTTATTCGATTTTCAACCGAATAAGAATTAAAAAAAAAGATGTTATGATGCTAAAAGTACTTATCTATAGAAAATGTATATTTAATTGGGAGAGAGGTACGTGGGTCTTATGTGCAAGAGTAGGTAATAATGTAAAAAAAAGGTATCTACTTGAGTTACGCCTAATAATCAATCATTTAACAATATTTCTATCGTATTGTTAAAATGTTTTCGGTGACAGGATTTTGCAATTCTCTTTGAGTGTCCATGTTCTATGTATATTTTATGTACAGCAACATTATACCAGAAAAAATTGTTATAAAATAAATATATTAAAAAAAAAAAAACCTACATCAATTAAAAAAAAAAAAAAAGTAGAAATAACAAACAGCAACAACACTACGTTATTAAAAAGAGAGAGAAAGAGAGAGATAAATCAAATCAAAGCGTTGATAAAATACGAAATATTTAATACCTTATCTTTATTTGCGAAGGATTGAATTCTTTTCCGTGTATACAATGAGCAGCAGTAAGAACCCATTCTTTATGAATTAATGTACCTCCACAAAATCCACTTCCTCCATTCAAAAGCAATACTTGCCAAGGCCAGGAGCCTTTCCTTGGAGTTTTCCCTCCAATTACGCGACTACTTTGAATTGTTGGGCTTCCACATCCTAAGGAAAAAGTTTTTTTTTTAAGTTAAACTTAATGCATCAAAATAACTCTGTAGCAATTTAAAGTACTAACAATTTTTGAATACTTTTATATTAATTCTTTTTTATTATTATTACACACTGCAAGGAGAGAAACTCCTGCAACAGAACATGAGTACATGTTCTGCTATAAGGAGATTAGGGGCTTAGTGCCAATTTTTATATCTTAGCTTGGTTTTTCTTTCCGTCAAAACTGTCCTTAAAACTTTTAACACTCTTCTGGAACACAGCCGAATTGTCCAAATTATTCCAGTGATTGACAACTCTGTTAATGAAAAAGTTGTGTCGGTGTGCACAGTTTTTTACAATTTCACGATTTAATCAATTACAATGTCCTCGTTCAGGAGCAATAGTTTCTGGTTTGGTATACCAGTTAACATGATCTATTTTTCTCAACTTTGTACTGTTGAATGCAGTCTGTGCGCGCTCTTTTATCTGTTAAGGTAGCAAGATTAAGAATTTCCAATCTTTTTTCATAATCAAAATTTTTAAGCGAGTGAGAGACTTTCGTAGGCATATGTTGAACATGCTCAATGCATTTAATATCTTTTTTTGAGTAAGCATTACATACAGGCACAGCAAACTCTAAATGAGAGTTATGTATAAATATTTCCAGAGGTTTATATCTCTACTCAGGAAAGCGCTTTCTATCCCAAGATACTATTGGCTTTGGAAGAACATTTTGTTGCATGCGTTTTCCAATCGAGATTAGAAATGATTGTCACACCAAGGTCGCATTAAGAGTCTGTTGAGACTGAATAATGACAAGATTTTCCAAAGGATATATTGTAACTATATTTAGGGTTACCATAGCCAAAATGCATAACTTTATATTTATCAACATTCAGTTTCATGAGCCAAATTTCTGTCCAAGTTACAATTGCATTTATTTCTCTTTGTAATTTTTAGGAATCTTCTTCATTTGATATCATTGGCTATTAATTTACTGTCATCAGCATAAAGCTTATAGGAATAATATTTTAAGACATTTGGAAGATCGTTTATATTGATTATAAATAACAGTGGTCCCAGCAGACTTCCTTGTGGTACGTCACTAGTGACATTCGCCCAATTTGAAATGCTAGCACAACACGTTGTTGCCTGTTTACTAGAAAATTTAATATCCACTTTAATAATTTTCCATTTATGCCATATGCTTTTAGTTTTTGTAAAAGTCTTAGATGTGTCACTTTTTCGAATACTCTAGCAAAATCTAAAAAAAATACATCAGCCCACTGTTTTTTTGAGATTATTTTCGTGACTTCTAATGTTTCCAATAAATTAGTAACACAACCTTTATTGCAAACAAACCCGTGTTGTTGTTTGGCTATGAGTTTATTTAAGTAGAGATAATTCATAACTGTGTCTTTTTTTGATTTGCTCCAAAACCTTACAAGGATATTGAAGTCAAGGAAACTGGGCGATAGTTTGCTGGATTACTACAATTACCACTTTTGTGTAACGGTGACACATTGGCTAATCTCCACATGTCAGGGATAACTCCTTCCTGTAAAGAGCTTGAAAATATCATATAGAGTGGCTTGGAAAATTCTAAGTGACATGCTTTTAGTGCCCAAGGGTGAACTTCATCAACCCCTGGAGTTTTGTTAACGTCCAAGTTGAGTAGGCATTTACTAATTTCTTTAATGAACAGAGTAGGTAATTAAACATTATTTTATTAATCATTATTTAGTTAAACATTAAAACAGTAAATAAACATTAAGTTTAATTAACATTTAAAGATATGATATAGGTTTAAAATAATAGAAATTACCTATGCCAGGCGTATTGGTTGTTACTGGTCCTATAAGAATTACAAATCATAATATAATGTATATTTACATAAAGTTGATCGGATTTTCATAAAGCGCTTTTAATCGAACTTTCATAAAATTTGCTAATTTATAAAATTTACTAATATTAAAATAAAATTTGTTCTTAATAGTTTTTCTTTTTATTGTTTAATTTAATTTAAGGAGTATTTATCAAAAGGTTTACAAATGAATTTTAAGTTTCTCAAAAACAAAACATTATTGCATAGTACTTTGTAATGTTTATCTTGTTATCATAAATTATTGATATTGTTGCATTTTTACTGCTCATCAGGATCAATCAGGATTATGATTTATTTGTTATAAATTATTATAAAAAATTAACTATGCAAAAAAAAAATATATATATATATATGAAATTTGTTGATTACTATGTTTAATACCTACCTATTGTAGATTTAGTTGTAGGAGCACCTGTTATTATAGTAGTAGGTTGAGTAGTAGGAGCACCTGTTACTATACCTGTATGGAAGTTTGAAAAATTATAAGATTTTTTTAAAAGGAATTAAATTTCTATCTCTAATATTTTAAATAATAATTTCAAATAAAAAGTTTGTAAAGTAAACTTTATTACAGTATTTGCATGTTTGTTGACAATATAACTTCATGAAAGCTGCCCATGAGGTATACGCGCACTTTAACTTGTTTTTTTGACACCATTGTTGAAAATTGTCCGAGCAAGCTTAAAAAAAAGCTATGAGTAGATCTATTTTTTAGTATTTTTTTTTTGTTATTATTAAGCATTTAATGTACCGTAACAATATACAAAATAAGTACCTGATGCCGTTGTAATTGTAGCAACCAGTAATAATGAGATAAACATCGTATTCATGGTTGTGTAATTAACTTTTGTGATCATATTTAGAAATTAAATATCTTTTATAGCCCTAACGCTTATTTATTCTCAAAAACATTTGCTAACCTACTTCCATAAACACAGTCTTGTTTGTTCACTTTCTCAAACTATGGTTTGTTGACCCACTCTACCTCTAAAAACATGGTTTGTAGACGCACTCTACCTCTACAAACATGGACTTGTTTGTACATATTGTACATCTGCTTTCATTGCTTATCAATATCAAATTTGAGGTTACTTACTTTTTGTGTGTTACTTTTATTATCGGATAGGTTTTTTTTCTTGATATTCGTTCGAATTTTAAATTATGAAAATTAAAAAAAAAAACAGTTTTAATTTATTTTATAATAAATAATAATAAATGAAATAAATTTATAAATATTCTAAATAAAACTTCTAAAATAAATAGACATAATAAAACTTTTCTAAATTATAAAAAAAAAAGGTATTAATAAAGTTTCAAGTAAAAATCAACTCAGCTGTCGTTATTGAAGAAACTCAGCTGTCATAAGTTTAGAAACGCTCATACTATTTCTATAAACTATCATTATACAGTATAACTTTTTTTTTAGTTATATATATATATATATATATATATATATATATATATATATATATATATATATATATATATATATACATATATATATATATATATATATATATATATATATATATATATATATATATATATATATATATATATATATATATATATATATATATATATATGTATATATATATATATATATATATATATATATATATATATATATATATATATATATATATATATATATATATATATTTCTATGAATATAAAATAATATGACGCTGATGTTGAACATATAATCAATATCAACCTAAATGATGTCGGTTTTATTTTCAGTAGTGTTCTCATAAAGGTTCAACAAAGAAGACTTAAAAACCATCTAAAAACTCCCCCTCCTCCTTTCCCCATTCGTTTTCTACCAACACTATATTTTTATCAAGTTTCTTGTTTCAATACTTTAATAATATATATAAACCAAAAAGACAATCATATTATTACATAATTTTTTTAATTTTTTAAATTTAAAGTTTTTGATTTATGTTTAGTTTTTTTTTTTTTTGTTGGCCTACATTCTTTTTTTAATTATTTCTGAATTATTACCAAATAATGAATAAAAAGATAAAACCAACAACAACAAAAAAAATTCATTGTTTTGTTTTGCGTTGATTCAACATTGTACTTTAAGCTGCTCATCTAGATATGGTTTTTACAAAACTTTAATGAAAAAGTTTAATATTTTTAAAGCTCTGCAATATTGTTAATTTTTATAGTATTTATTATATAAAAAAAACTGTGTCGCTCAATAAAACATTCTGCATAGCATTAAAAAAGACAACTGGAAAAAAAAATCTTATAAACTTTTCATAAAAAACCTTTCATAGGATTGTTAAATATTAAATTAAAAAAAAAATTCTTTACTTTTTGTCACCTCAATTTAAAAAAAAAAAAAACTAATTTTTTCATTAAATTGTAGAATTAGAATAATACTTTCTATATGCAATGAGTGAGATCTTCTCGCCTTTAAAATTAACTATTGAATGTTGAATTATAACCAAATTATTCACATAAAGTAGTAGAAAAAACCAAAAAAACCAAGACATTTTCATAATTTTTGGCATGTTCCTTGTTTCTTATATTTCATATAAGTTACAAACATGAACATTAATATGACAATTTAAAACTTTTTGCTTGTTAGGTGAAACAAACAAGTACGAATGTTTTTATCCTCATCTCGTACAAAATGGACCGTTCCTGGTTGAATGTGGGGGTTGTTTAACACCCTATGAAAATTATAATAAAAAATTAGTCCGACTCTGAAATCAGAAATTTGAATATTCGGCAGTTGGTAAATCTCAGCAAACGAGATCCTTCAGATTCTTCAGTAGACCTCCATCTCCGCTTTAAGATCTCTTCGGGACGGCTCTGCCTAAAACATTTAATATTCAAAGATTTGAATATTTAAAGCTCTTTAAAAATACAAAATGTTTTGTTTGGAACCTGGAAAAACACTTTTTTTTTTCAATTTTTAATCACCCCTTAATTACATCTCAACGCTGCATTTAATGTTTATTGAAAATATAAAGTTAAAAAATATTGGGATAATAATCCCGACAAACACGGTTGTTTAATATTAACACACCATACAACACAGTAGTCACACACAGTTGCAGTGGTCAGAGTTATATCTCAGAATCAAGAAGTTTGAGGTTCGTTGCCAGTTCTGGTCATATATGCGACACTGATAAAGAAGGAGGCGCAAACCTCCCGGTTTATTGCTGAATAAAGATAAAAAAGACGCAATTAGTATGTCTAGCATGTTTATATATTTGTGTATATAATCATGTTTGTATGGATAGTGGTTTCATATTTCAATATTCACGGAAGATTTTATTTAAGATCGATAATTTTGCTTTCGCAACTTTAGTTGAATGTTTAGTTCACAACTTTAGTTGAATACATTGCGTCAACGCTATTTCGTTTACATTGAAACCACGTGAACTCTATATATTGGATCAACTTTAGGTTTCGAAAAACAAAAATCAACTTTTGCGACTTTTTTTTACAGAGGTTGGACCAATATAACTGCGCAAGCTGTTTTTGTTGCGTCGGTATTAATCTTTTCAATGATATCATTGCCAAATAATGACTTGGATCAGCGCACAGTGGGGCAAAATAGCTTTAAAACTTTGTTATGGATTTTTAAGTTAAATAGTTATTTTAAGGGCATTTGTTAGACTTAGGAAAAGTTACTGCAAAGTTTTTTAAACATTTATTTACAATTGTCAGACGTTTTTAATGTATTTTCGAGTAATTTCGAGTCAAGTTTTTTAAAAAACAGGTAAGTAGGGAGTTTAGGCAACTTTTTTAGCTAATGTAAATATTTTTTATTTTAAATGCATTCCTTAATATATTTCATTTCCAAAAAGGTTTCAACCACTTCTGTAGCTTATGTAGTTCCAAAAGTATATGTATTTTAATATTTTCAATTCTTAGACATTTTATGAAATATTTTCTTAAAGTATATAATTTATATTTTTGGCACCGAAAAAAAAACTTTTTTAAAATTTTTTTTATTCCGTAAAAAGTCGCAGTAAAAAAACTTTTGATAAAATTTTATTAGAAGTTAAATCGAAAAGACAAATTATTATCAATTTATAAATATAATTTTTTTTAATAGTAGAATATGTTTTAAACTTTTTTACCTTTTTCTTAAATGTTTTGATTTGTAATACGTTAAGTGTGACAAAATTTTGAGGAGAAAGATTAACTTAAATTTTAAATTAACTTTTATTTGAACATTATTTAATAAAATATCTAATGAAAGACGTGGACCCAAATAAAACAGGCCGAAAACGTCGAAACACGTACAAAATAAGGATAAATCTAAAACTTATCTTCACACAAATGTTTAAACAAGAATGTTTAACAACAATATCAATTGCCAACAGTTTACAGCCACATTAAACAACTGTGTGTGAAGTAGGGTTTAATTTTTAAATGGAAACTGCAGCATCAGAGATAAAACTTACATTTCAAAAGTTTTAGACAATTCTTTTGCTGACTCCAGTACTAAAATATCTGATTAAAATTGAATTAACAAAAAAATATGATTTGTTAAAGAGAAAACCAACTTATAGTGACCACGAATTTGCAGATATTTCAAATGCAGCATTCTATCATTCTATCTAAATACAGAAAAAGCTTTGATCTCATATATTGCCAGATATATAGCTAAAATGGCATCAAAAAAAGTATCTGCATTAGTGATAAAGTACATATAATTATATATATAAAAAAAATTCTAGAAGGAACCCCTGAGTTGTGTGTACTCACAGAGCTCAGCTAATAGTTCATGCAGCATTTGTAAATTTGTGATATCTATTTGAAAAACTAATTTATAATAGTTTATTTCAAAAAGATATTCAGCTGCCTACCATGCAGTTGTGTTATTAACCTTCTAGCACACGGCATTGGGTAGTTAAGAACTAAAAGGTACATAAATTTGTACAAAAAGCAATAACAAACATTTAATTTATTGTAAAACTAAAATTAAAAGAAAGTAAATAAATGAAATATATATATAAAATGATTAAAATTATTTCCGTTTTTCACATTTAAAATAATTATTAGAAAGTTGTTTGGAAATGTTAAATTAGATTATATAACCTAGTAGTTAACAACTAGATTATATGTATAATTCTTTACTAATGTTAAACAAACTAATTTTTAATTAATTTAACTAAAAAATTTTATCATATTTAATTAAATTTAAAATAAAAATAAGAAAGAAAGATATTAGTAATATAAGTAACAATAAGTTTGTGTAACATTATTAATATTACACTAACTTGTTGTTTGAGTAAATTATTAAGAGTATAATATTTATTGCAATATATATTGTTTGAGTATAATATTTATTAGTAATAAATATTGTGATATATGTATTAGTAATATATATTGCGATATTATAAGAGTATAATATTTATTAGTAATATTGTTTGAGTAGATTATTAAGAGTAATGTAAAACAAAATATTATATATATTTTAGAAATTTACGTAAATATGTACTATTGTGTTTCTTTCTAAAACAATTGCTATGTAAAACCGAAAATTTCATTCTTGTTTGAGGCTTGTACATTTATTTTCATATTAAAAAAATATAAAAGTTCGTAACAAATATTTCTAAATTTGTAATCAACAAAATACGCCGCCATCTTGGGAGGCCAAAACTGGCTTCAAAAAACTTGCTGCATACGCTATATCCAGTTATATTTTGAGATCAGTGAAAGCAGCTAAAACCTATAATATAATACTTTACAGAATAAAGAAGTATAAAAGTTCATTATCCAATACCAAGTTAGGTTTGACAAGTAAATATACTGTCGTACAAGTATTTAATGAAGGTGAGGAAATAATGTTGAAAGACTATCTAATAAAAAGCTCTAAAACGAACTATGGGTTGACATATAAACAAGTACAGGAATTAGCATTTCATTATGCAATGAAACTTTGCAAATGTCCAAGTAAATGGGTGGAAAATAAACAAGCTGG